TTCTTGAAACTATATTATTTCTACCCATTTGACTGAAAATGTCTTAATGTTGCTTTCATTTCAAATAAAACTGGTACCAGTTACAAAATTCTAGGTACACAAGTATATTATCTTCATCATTGGATTTGGTTTTTCAGATTATCGAAAAAGTATTTTCAATATTTGAGCTTTTTTCTAATATTCACTTTTTCTATTAAGAGTTTTAAAGCTAGGGCTGGGGATTTGGCTCAGTGGCGTAAGTGCCTGCCTGGCAAGCACGAGGTCATGAGTTCAAGCCCTGGTACCAAAAAAAAAAAAAAAAAAAGAGAGAGTTTTAAAGCTTCAGATAAGTATTATTACATTATATTGTTACAGGCAGCTGATTTTGTTAGAAATACAGGCAGTCAGACAGGGCTGGGCCGTCAAAGGAGCCAGAGCAGAAGACCAGATAACTTGCAGCCTTGCAGGAGAGAGATACCTCCAGCCTATGGGCCAAATCTCAAGACAAGAAGCAAGGAAACATACCTATATCCTAAGGATTGATAGTCCAAATAGTTCTCTATCACCGAGGAAACCAGGAGTCACCATTGAAACCCCTCCTACATCAATATTATTGATAACTTTATTGAGTACTTCCACACTGTTATTTTGGTGTCTTCTTCCCTCTATTTTTATGTTGAAATCAGTCTTCTGGTTGTTTTTCTTAAGGGTAATGTATCATTTTAAAATCTAGCTATTTAAAACGTTTCTCTTTATCGTGTCCATTCAGCGACTTTAGTATGAAATTCCTTGCTAGCTTTTTCTTGATCTCTCTTACTTGTAATTTATGGAGCTTCCTGGATTAATATTCCTTAATTTTGGAAAACTTGACCATTAGTCATCCAAGACAATAATTCTATTTCAATCTCCTTCTCTTTCTCATGTTCTCTCTCTCTCCCCCCCTTCCCTCCCTCCCTCTCCCTTTCTCTCTCTCTCTCTCTCTCTCTCTCTCTCTCTCTCTCTCTCTCTCTCTCTCTCTTTCTCTCTCTCTCTCTCTCTCTCTCTCTCTTTCTCTCTCTTCCCCCCCCTTCCTCTTTCTCCTTTTTTTTCTCCCTCCACCAGACCTTAACACTAGAATTACATGTATGTTCAGTCATTCCATTGTATTCTATTCTACCTATCTTTTCATATTGTTCTGGGTCAGTTTTGCATTTTGTTCCATTATATTTTCTTATGTGTTACGAGCTTATTTTGTTGAATTATATTTGGAACCATCAATTCTCTCTGCTATTTAACACACAGTAAGAAATGACATTCACAAAATTAAAAATTCAGTTGTAAAATTTTTTCTCATAGATTGAAATTCTTTCTTTAAATTTCCCTTTTTTAATCTCAGTGTTACATAATCTAGTTTATAACTGCTGTTCTAAAGCATACGTCTGAAGTTGATACAGGCAACTGGGTTAGATAGAAATACTATAGGCAGTCAGACAGAGCCAGGTGCTCAAGGGAGTCAGTACAAAAGAACAGATAACTTGCGACTGTGGCAGAGACAGACACCTCCTGCTGTGGACCAGGCTTTGAGACAAAAGATCAAATACACTCACATGTTAAGGATTGATACTCTAAAGAGGTCTGTATGTCCCTGAGGAAGCCAGGAGTCACCATCCCAGTCTGCTTGCAATGTCCTATTTTCCCAATTTGGTCAATTATACCTGAACAGTTTATGGTATTAGTTAACCATAGTTCTGACCCACCTTATGCCCATCTGCCTTGCCAGTTCCCACGTTTACCCCACCTTGGACCCATCTCACTTCATGGTTTTGCTTTATAAATGTTCCCAGAAAAGCCAGAGTCCTTGGCAACCCACTGGAGACCCTTTCTGTCTCTCTCACAGACAGCTTTCTTTCTCAATAAATGTATCCTGCTCTTAACCTCTGTTGTTCCTAAAATTCATCCTACGATTTTAGAGAACACGAACTCATAGCAGACATATAGTACCTTAGGAGTTTCATTCCCCTATATCTATATCTCATTTTTTCTTTTGTAGCGGGAGTCAAACTCAGGACCTCTCGCTTGCCAGGCAGGCTCTCTGCCACTGAGCTATATCCTTTGCCCCTCATCTATTAATTTTATTGATAGCTTTTTTTCTCTTTATTATTGGTCACATTTTTCTTCTCTAATTGCCTGTAGTTTTAACTATATACTAGGTATTTTTTGAGTGCTTACAGTTACTGGAAGTGGGGTTAGTTTTCATAGACAAAATGTTTTACCCCTTTCTTTTAGAGATCTTGCTAACTGAAGGACTCATCACCTCCATTCAGCCAGGAATTGGGCTGGGCAAGAGCTGGAGAGAACCTGGGGTTTACTTCAGTCCAACACAAGGTTTCAGATATTTACAAGCCTGCGCCAGTTAGGCGCGCATTTCCGACTCTGTTCAGGACCCTACACCCCTCAGCAGGCCCTGCACGGCTGCAGACTTGTCTGTCTGTGCCTCCCTCCAGCTCCACACTGCTCTGCACTCCAGATGTAGTCCTCAGAAAGAGTGAGCTGGAACTTGAGGTCCTCTGGATCCCATTCCAATTGGATCTCTCTCCTGGAGTTTCTCTCTAATGGACGAAAGGCTCCCAAGCCAAGAAATGTCTAGATTCATCTGTCTTGTCAGGAAACTGTGTTGTCACTTTTCTACCATTTAGTGGAATACATAGCTGTTGTGTGTTACATTCTCCTCGCATTGAAAGCTATCCAGCTATTTTTATTATTATTTTTAAAACTATGCTGTAGTTTCAAATTCTATTTTCAAATATCTCCATATCACTGTGGGAAAATAAAACTTACCCGTGTTTTTCAGTGCTCTTGACACACAATAGAATACAAGTATAAAGTTGAGAAATGTTTGTTTTTACTTCTGCCAGAAATATTTACTGTTCACATACCGTGAGAATTAAATTCCTAGACATTTGTCCAGCTAACTATGCTGCTTTGAAGAAATAATTAGATTAAATTTACCTTCTGAGAGAGGCTAAGAATTGGAGGAAGACAAGGTCCTAAATTAAGCCCCATTTTCCAAAATTACTACAGCACTGTCTCCCAAAGACAGTATTTGCGCATCAAAAGGATCAAACCTCAGTACTTGGAGACCTGATCTGGAGTTTATCTATGACTTGGAAAAAAAGTTCTATTTCTACAAGCTAGTGTTGAAAATACAGAATCCTTTCCATCTCATTCTAATGAAGCGAAAGTTTTCTCTTTCACCAGAGGAAAGGCGAAATCTATCCTCTCCCTCTTGTATATATATGAGGAGAAAATCCACTGCCCTGTTCTCCTCCCCCATGGTATAACCACACTCTGTCGCCTGGGTAGAAAGTCCTCGTGGTCTAATCTCAGCCCCTGCAGGACACAGTGCAGGAACCCATGCCGCATGCGAGAGTTACCTCCGCATTGTTGTTGCATGGGTGTCAATCACCAATGCTTTGCTCCTGATCCATAGGCTGTGTGTGCATGCGTGCATGTACACATATGTGCAGAATAACCTTCAGAACCTTCACAGTTCTTTGTAAAACACTTCAGTGTACATAAAGATTTTGTATTTAAATTAACTGATCACTAAATTTTATATAAAATAAAAACTATTTTGCTGAATCGAGTTTTTCTGAATATATGACAATATTTCTCCATTCATCCTATGAATATTGTTTATATTCCAATGGTATATTCGCCTATGCTTTGTGCTTAGATACTCTGGTAAATAGTTACACACAATATTAAACCTAGGTTAATAAGTACACAGGTTAGTACAAGAAAAAGCCAGCTAAACTGTGTGACCTACTAAAACATGTTACTGACTGCTTCTTGTATTCCTGGTAGTTACATTCAACGATTTATCCATAAAAATCACTCCAGAATGAAGTCCTGCCCCCACCCCATGAAATCATGCTTACTTTAGAATATTTTAATAGGTAGGACATTCAGAAATGATGAGTTACTTCACCAAAGCAGCTTCAGAGGCTAGCGCACAGGTCACAGTGAAGGCGCAGGAGCGTGTGACTAGGGACACACACGCGTTGTGCATGTGCATGCCTGCCACACTACTCAACGGGCCCTGTGTCAGAAGTGCTCAGGTGGAGCCTGAGTGCAGTACAACACACTTTAACCTGCATGTTTCCTTTAGTTACTCAAGAAACAGCTATCTAGTATCTAGTACCAGTGCTAAGAACTGGTGTTCAATACATTACTCAAGGAACTTAAGAGTTTCTAAATGCTACATTGCTGAGATTTTGCTTAAGAAAAATGTGACAAGGAAAATTAATTGTAGGTATTCAAATAACACATTCTCTGCCACAGTCTGTTTAAGTATTGGGCATTAATGCTAATTGTTATCTACTGGAAGTTGTGTTTTGATAAGAAAAATATTCTTAAATCTCATTTTAAATATAAAGAAGAATCCTTCTACTTAAAAGCATATTACCTTCAAATACCAACCAAATATATTTGGAAGATTGATGTTTGAAAATACATTGTGAAAAAGTCTACCAAGCCATCCTGATGTGATCTATCGTTTTGCAAATTATAAAACACATTGCATTAATATAGCATCATATATATATTTGAATACTATTGCAAATGATTTTATATGACTTCTGCGAAAAAAGTATGTAAGGATTTAAGACAATTGATGGCATGCACTATAATTAACTGAATATCTGAAATAATACACATATGAACATATAATTACTATATGTAAAACAAAGGAAGTTGGTTGACATATACACATATTTGAGGTGGGCTAAACATTAATAGAAATTTTAAAAAGTTGTCCTGGTGATACTTGATTTTTAAAAAACATTTTTGTGATTTGAAATAAAATAACATGAATAGGTCTATTACTATAGTACAAATGATTATAATGAGCTTTATTTTGAAGAAAACCCAGGTGGAACACATCACATAGTGACTAAAGATGAGACTAAATAAAATGAAGCAGATAACAGAGGCTCAGACAGTTCCGCACCTTCCATTGTTAAGTGAAAGGAATTACATACCCAGAATTTTTCCTTTTTTCCTCTGGCTCCTTTCAGTGTACCCCACCTAAAAACAAGCAGAACGCAGTCAGAATGCTTGATCTGCATCATGAGCACACAGTTGTCATCCGTGTTTTTAATTTCCCTTCTTTTCACCCTGTTTTTGTGAAAATGTCCTCACTGCCCTGCAGAAATGCACTTGTACAGTTTTCTTCTTCAGGATGACTTTATTCACATGCATTGAATAAAGTTACTGATATCTAAATAGCTTGAAATCAAACTCAAAGAAAGAGGCCCCAAGGTAACCAGAGAATAAATTTTAAAGTAGTTAAAGAAGCTTCCCTCTTGACATCCAGCCTGCTGAAACTTTATTAGGGATGAAACAAGCTAAAAATTTCCCAGACAACTGGTAAAAATTTTAATGGAAATATATATAACTGTTATGGATGAGAGATTTTAAATAGACATTCATACATACAGATTACTTTCTAAAGCAGCAATCTGTCTAACTTCTATGCAAACATGGATGGAAATAGGATCGTGTATTCCCAGTACTGATTAATTTTCAGTAGAGCACAGAATGACTCATAAAGAACCTGAAACTAGAATACTTTTTCTGTTTACTAAATCACATATTCTATTTATTTTTTATATATTCTATTTACTGAAATAATACACACTTGTCTCAGATCATACAGCAGAAAATTGAGCTAAGGGTCCACATCTCATGTTCTCAACATACAATGGCGATTTGTTCTTCTAAATGGACAGCTCACAGCTAAACAACAGTTTCGGGAGAGAAGTCAGATTGATTACCACTTTCCTGTAATTTACTAAGCTGTAAGAATATCATTAGGTCTGCTACAAAACTCCCTATTTAACCTGTCCCAGTGACCCTGAACCCCAGCGTCACAGCTCCTTTGAGTCATGCCATGACACTACAGACGTTCCTAAGAGAGGGTCACATTTGTTGCTAAAACGTTTTCCAACATGTCAGTCTACAGAAGGCTGTTTTTAATGGGGTGCAGAATGGAACAATGTCATTGCAGGAAGAAGAGATTAGGTAACGGTAGAGGGCTTGTGGTGGGGTTTCCTGGGCTTTCCACACACCATGGGGAGCTGTTGCCCAAGAGTGGGGGACTAGAAAGGTGTGGGGGAAACCTCTGCAGAGCAACTCTGCCCTCTCTCATTCCCAGGCTTGTGGAAGTGCACTGATAATCACGGTTTTTTGGCAGGGTTTTTTGGTTTTGGGTTTTGTTTTGTTTTACTAGTTGTTTTTTTCTTTTTTCCTGCTGCAAAACAGAGTATAATGTTCTGAATGTTCTGAGTGGTTTAATGTGGAAATAAAGATTGGTTCAATTTTCAAAACTATTTTGTAGTTCTGTAATTGTATTTGCATTTTTAAAAGTTACCAGCATTTCTAAAATTGACCAACCCTAAGCACCCCCAAATGGTCAAAGACCCTGCCCTGTTGCTGTGTAGTAGCTCAGACCTGAGATCTTCAGTCACTCATCTTCCTCATCTATAAGAGCTACTATAGAAATTTCAGGAAGTCTTAATTATCCACTGAGACCTGAGGCAGTCTGGCTGACAGTTATGTTACCTGTTTACATGAATCCAGCTACACCAGGGACACCGAAGCCACATTCAGCTGTGAGACTATGCAGACTGGGTAGACCCCCATCTGAGACCCTGACAGGAAGGAAAGAAGTGTGGACTGTCCCATTTAAGCCACTGTGGAGGATTCCAAGAACCAAAGGAGCTCAAACAAGAAGGGCATTTCATGATGGACTTGCACGGTTTTTTTTTATTCTAGCATTGTTAAATACATTAAAAAGTGAGGTAAATCCTTAGTTTGAGATTTTTGTGTGTTTTTTTTTATACCAGGTATCAAACCCAGGACCTTGTGCTTGCCAGGCAAGTACTGTAACACTGAGCTATATCCCTGACATGAGATTATTTTAAAATATGAATTATAACTTATTGTCGGTTACTTGCTGATATTTTTCATTATGTTCCTGTGTGTTTTATGATTATCTAAATATGTTATAAAATAATTCTTATCTTAGAAATCTGTCCATTTTTTGCAATGGCTAGAAATTTCTTTTTAAGAAGCTTTTTCATTGTAACTCTAACATGGTTTTTTAAAACACCAGACATTTTCAAGCAAAGAGCATCACCAGTATTCAGATTATTGTAAATCTTGAAATAGATTTTTAAAAATCAATTAATTAAGCCATCCGCTAGAAATATGACAGGGAAAGGAAAGTAAAAGTGCTAAATAGAATCATTTTTACAACTAAAATGATCCTGAAAGAAAATTTTAAACAGAATCTATTAACCTTTATGCAAAATTCAAACGGAAAGAGACATTATCACACACTCAAAAGGACTGGCGCTGCAGGAGCTATTCAGTTCAGTGGTGTCACAACCCTGGAATCAAGCAAGCAAGATTCCTTCATTGCACAACTACATATTGGCACTGCAACCTGCAACACCGTCTTTCTTTCCTATTATCTTTACACAGTTCCCAGGATGGTCATCAAGCATCCCGTGGGACTGAGTGAAGAATCACTTCGTCCCAGGTGATTTTCATTCTACTGCAGCAAATCCATCGGCTTCAAACATTTATTCAAACAAGGTGAACCTGTGCAAAGCAAGATTACTTACATGATTCATTTATTAGGAAAATGTAACTCCTTTTGATTAGTGGGCATATTTTTCCTAATGTGTGTCTTTTCCTGAACTGTGGTGTACTTCAAGTTACCATTATGCTAATAGGCTAAAAGTACTAGAAATATGTGTATAATTTCACAAGTGTCCTCTGATTGTCTTTGAGGACATGACGATTTTCATTAAATTCATATTTGCTGCAAACACATCTATTTACACTTTATTTCCTCTTACATATACCACTTCATTTACAAATGAACGTGCAGACAGACCAGAATGTCACCCTGTGAGGACTGCTTCCCTAACCTCGCTGTATAGTAGCTCTTAGCCTTGGAAGGTGGTGAGGGCCCTTTGCTGCCTAAAGGGAGTCCAGTTAATTGGAGCTTTGGTCTGTTCTTTGAATGTTTCTGCCTCATTAAATTGTTTCGGTGACTTAAGACTTATTCATACTTTGTCTCATAATTTAGAGGTCCCTGGACAAGCACTGGTTTTACGAAACCCAGGCAGCTGGCAGCCCATAGTACACCCAATGTGCAGCATTGAGCACATCAACATCTTCCCTGCACTGTGGGTGCATCTCATGAGAGCCCAGGACCTCGCATACCCATCCTTCAAGACTTATCTCAATCCTCACTGTTAAGTTTTTCTAGCAATATTTCTTTGTATGATTTGGAAAGTCTAGACTCTTCTGTGAAGTTTCTGGAGAAAAGCTGGGTGTGATAGTTCATAACTGTAATCCAGCACTCAGGAGGCTGAGGCGGGAAGATGGCCTGAGTTCAAAGCCAGCCTGAGCTACAAAGTGAGACAGTCTCAGTCAGTCCATTAGCCAAACAAACCTGATGGTTCTGCAGAATATGCTGTTAAGACCTATAAATAATGGTATGAAATCTATGCATTTTCTCCTTTCAAAGAAATATTTTAGATAAGTGTGTTAAACCATACTATACTTTAAAAAATCCTATTTTAAGCTACGTCTAAGTTGTAAAATTATCAGAACTAAATAACTTTGGAGGAGATTTTAAAATAACTTCTTGTTTTCCTTAGTTTTGGTAGATTTTGCCTTTGAAGTCCATATGCACAGTCATGGCAGCAACAGACACTATAAATAAGAGATCTGGAGATATAATCATACTAACATAATATAGTTAATAATATAACATAGTTATATTTCCAATCATATTTTTTATTTAAAGAGAGAAGAAAGAAAAAGAAAGGACATAAAAAACAATGCAGTAAAAGGGTACAAATAATACAGTATTTCTAGAAAAAAATATATACAGTACGAAATCACCAGTTAATAGGTTACAGATTATCTTCCCAGAAACAGTTGTCCATATCACTAAATTAAAGCTTATAAAGTGAACATTCATACAGTGAAATTCCAATCATATTTTTAAGGGAACTCAGAACTTTTTAAGTACCTTACCCATTTTTTCCTATCTTTATTCTACAAACACTGTTACTCCAAGAAGACAGAGCTTCGCCTTGAGAAGCTGGTGAGATAACATAACACTGGGAAGCAGAAAACAAGACTATGCACAGTTAGAATTGTGCGAGTGCCACCTCACAAATGAATGCGTTGCAGGCTGCCACAGGTTGTGGATGAGGGACACTCACTGCTGACAGCAAAGACAGTTCTGTCAGATGGAGTGAAATTTCTCAGGGTAAAACAGGAACAAAGAACCAAAGGCACAGTAAGTAAGGGCAAAGCCACAGGAGAACCCCCAAAACTCCATTAATTCTCAGAGCGACCCCAGCCCCGTGGCACAGAAACAGCAGTGGCAGAAATGAAGTTAGCAATGCTAGTGCGCGTCAGTTGTCGACAGCACAGATGGTCACCACACATGGAAGTCACATGCTGATGACTGTTCCAAGGACAGAAAGGGACGTTCTCCAGACTCTCTCAGGAAGAACTCTGGTGTTAGTATGTGGCAGACTCCGGGTGGAGTGAATGGAAGCAAAGATAGAATGCTGTCCATCTGGCAAAGAACATGATCTTCTAAATAGGCATGGAGTAAAGTAAGAAAATAATCCTGTAAATTATGTGTCTTATAGTAAATGTTTCCCTGCAAAGACTACAACATGAGGTGATATGCTATGAAGAACTCACAGAAAACTTCAGCCTTTGATGTTAGAGAGAGATGTCAAAGTTTACATCTCTAAAACTGTGGCGATGGCAGGCAACTCAGGGAACACAGTATGCTCTGCACTTTGGTTAAATGTGGATAAATCACCTCTAATGACAGTTAACTAGGGTGATAACCTTTGAAGAGATATTTTAAGCAAAAACTTTAGCCCATTGATGACTCACAGCAATAGAGAGAAACTCAGAGATTATAGCACACTCTTAGGGTTGGCTCACCACAGCTCATAGACTAAATCTGGCTTGATGCC